GGGTAGACTGAACACTTTAGCCTTGGGTGGCAACATGTCTAATTGAAGGAAAACTCTGGATCCCAAATAGTGGAGAAAATTACGGGAAACCACTGCATTATCCTTTCCAAGAATGCATGGTAATTCAAAGATGATAAAGAAAAGGAAGCTGTGAAGAGCCATATTCACATACGATCTGAAGGGATATGATATTTATTTAATCATAGTATACATTGGTCACTGCAACAACATCTGTGATTTTGAAATTATGAACCTATGGATGTTTTTTACTTCTGTTACACAAAATTGAACAGGAGTAGAGGTTTATCTCTTGTTTCTTGTTAAGGATTGGGTTTCCGGTTCCTTTTCTTTCTCTTTCACTTCCGGTAGCCGCTTGCGTTTTGGTAACATTATCACTTTGCTTGAGGTGGTGCTTCTTACTCTGTAGCCCTCTACCTCGAGTTGATCTTGGGCCTTGTACAGGGTGAACATCATTGTAAACTAAAGTCCAGTATTTTCCTTCTGTACAACCACACGTCCTTAATCCCAATAATTCTTTCGTTTACGAGCCGTACATCTGTTGCGTATACTCAGCTGCAGATGATTACAATACAATAAGCCACGACACTCTAAATCGACATCTGCACGGGAAAATATTACGTCACAAAGAAAATGGCTACGCGCCAAATAAAACAAATAGGAAAAAAATATCGAACAAATGATTTTAATTAATCAATATATCAATCCGTTTTATAGATCTCACCTTATTCACTTATACGAAACTCAATGTGAATGCATGTATATATTTTTAATGCACGTAGGCGTAGAAATAATATGTGTTGATATCCAGTCGCGCTGTGAGCCTACTGGGAGGGAGAAACTCCTGGTTTTCATTTACGAAATCTTTCCAGAACAGTGTTTCTCAACCGTGTATTCTCTAGGGCTCGGTAAAAGTTCGCTAGGGATTCCGCGAGAAATAGGGATAAATAGGCTAATGCATTTTTCAGTAATTTTTGTTTAACTTTATATTCGTAATTTTACGTAATGGATAGCGACTCGGATTGAGGGATTAGAGAGCCGAGTTCGAATTCTAGTTGAATCCATTACATTCACTTATGTGTAAATACCCTTGGGGAAGGTATGATTCCTCCTCTTCTCACCCCAGCTATGGGTAAATAGCAGGACAGACCGGGTTCTATGGCCTCGTTAGTCATGTATCGAAAGATACGTGATCGCCTATGCCGTGTATCACGCATGGCACACAACTGACTATACATGTAAGACAAATTGTTGGAAAATCCCTGGTTAAATTAAAATGATATTGGTTGTTTTTATTTTGTGTGTATTTATAGATTTTTCTATTGTGAATGAAACCTCAGTTTGAGGTCTCATCGATATATATTTTATTTTAACTGTCCTTCGCTAATTTATTTACATGATTTCCCCTTCCCTCGTTACAAGTATATATACTTGTTCGTTATTTTAGTGTGTTTCCCCCTCATTTTTTTTTTTTTTTTTTTGCTCTTCAATATCGTTAATATTCTTTTCGTTAATCCAACGATTGTCTCCTGATGAGATGTTGGCTGAAAAGGCCCTAGAGACTTTTAAAATTAAAATCAATGGTTTCCTTGTTTTTAAAACTATATATATATATATATATATATATATATATATATATATATATATATATATATATATATATATATATATATTAAATTAAAAAAGAAAATTTACACATTCTTACGGGCTGTATTAAACATATGTAAATTAAAGAAGTGAGGAAGTGAGGGGAAGAGAGAAGACATGAGTGAGTTAGCAGATATTGATTTTATTTACATTGAGCTCTCTGGATTTTATCCTCCTTAGGTTTACCCATACGGATTACCTAGTTTTTCATAAACTATATATATATATATATATATATATATATATATATATTGCATTGCCAATAAATTTGACAAAAAGGTAACAATTTTTTCTCCTTCAAATAGTAATCCAAAAAATATATTATGCTTACTACACGAGCTACGATAAAAATATAAAAGAAAATTGTATATAATAATTTTTATGCAGAGGTTTCCTCAGACATGAAAATTATTTCAAGATTTCTACAAGGGCAAAAAGGTTGAGACTATAATATAAAGTAATTCGAAATTCAGAGAGTGGGACTGGTTCTGTGCAAAGCCTTTTCTCACTTAACTCTAAAGACAGACATCACTTGATTTTGCACTTTGAGTTTCGCGCTATGCCGATCGTCAGACCGGACAAAATCTAAGGAGGACTGATATCTTAATATTTAGATATTGTTGTTCGATGGTCGCTAAATATTAAACTATTTATTATTAGAATGTTTATTTACAAGAATAATTTTATAATTACATCATTCTAAAAGCTAATACAACTGTATTAAGACTAATACAATGCAATAATTTAACAATTTATAAAGAAATAAATATGGAAACAATTTTCACTATTTAAATTGATCAAACTATCAATGTAAATGGTGTACATAATACCTCATCTCAGAAATATAGACAGATACTGAAAACATTTTTTTATTCATAAATTTATAAACAATTACTAAATTATTAAAATATGGAAACCGACTACAAGGAAATCCTTATTATTTACCATTTTATAAAGTTTGAATCGATTGGCAATTAGCCAATGTTTTGCCAACCATTCCAATAAACAATCTAATAAATAAATTTAAATACAGGTGTTGCAGCAAAATCTGACATTTGACAAAAAGAAAACGAAATCTTACTTATTATAAAACGCAGATTGTGTGTGTGTATGTGTGTGTGTGTGTGTCTGTACGTTTATATATTGGATCGGATTTCCTACACTTTTCAACAAAACTTCACAGGACTGCGTAAAATTACCTTTCGATGGTTCTGACAGCGTCAAAAATTGGAAAAACACAATTGTTTTTGCACGAAATCAATTTGAAAACACGATAAAACACGATTCTGTCGCCAGAATGAAAGGGGGACAACTCATATCGAGTTATACTTATAAAACCAAGGTTGTTTGTGTGTGTGTTCGTTTATATATGGGATCGGATTTCCTACATTTTTCAACCGATTTCAACAAAACTTCACTTTTTTTTAGCAGGTAGTGTTTCTTATTGTCTTGCACACTTTTTTCTTTATTTTTACATTCAGAATGCTTTAAAAATTCAATTTACAAGACAATTCTTTATAACAAAATTCTATTCAATCGATAGACTCATAATGATTGAAAACAATGTTTTTGTTTGAGTTTGACCAATTCGTAAAAAAAAAACAAAAACTTATTAAGACATGTGTGTCCGTCAACCTTAAACAATAATCTTTGTCAATTTTATTTTTCAGTCTTTATGATGGTCGATACTTGATCTATCTCTTACTGTTATATCCCTGGGCAACGCCGGGCTCTACTGCTAGTAGGCAATAAAAACAAAAACTGTATATGCAGAGACCCGACAGTTTATTTAGCAACAGTTTGAGTTACACACATTATTTTTCAATGTAACCGCCGCTGGTGGCAACGACCATCTCAAGGCAGGCACGAAATGAGTCACACACGCTTTGGCGACCATGTTCATAGCGGCGTGTTGTGGGCGTGCTTGTTGGTCTTGGCCTCGATCACGCCCCAGAAGAAATAGTCAAGGAAGTTGCAGTTAGGTGAGAAGAGCGGCCACAAATCCGTCAACCAGTGGTGAGGAACATTGTTGAGCAGCCACGCCTGGGTCGTCTTGGCCTTGTGTGCAGTGAGGAGGACTTCATGCCTCCGTTCTGCTTTTAAAAGGGCCTGAGATTCACCGCTGAGATCTACCAGGAGGTTCTGAGGAGCGTGGTGAAGCCCTGGATGGACAAGGTCGCCGCCGGGCGCCCCTACGTCTTCCAGCAGGACTCCGCTCCAGCACAGAAGCTAAGACGATCCAGGCGTGGCTGCTCAACAATGTTCCTCACCACTGGTCGCCGGACTTGTGGCCGCCCTCCTCACCTGACCGCAACCCCCTTGACTATTTCTTCTGGGGCGTGATCGAGGCTAAGACCAACAAGCACGCCCACAACACGGTCGACTCTCTGAAGGCTGCTATCGTGGAGGCGTTCACCGCTATGGACCAGGACATGGTCGCCAAGGCATGTGACTCATTTCGCGCCCACCTTGAGATGGTCGTCGCCGTTAGCGACGGTTACATTGAAAAATAATGTAGTATGTACCTCTAAGTGTTGCTAAATAAACTGTCAGGTATCTTCATATACAGCTTTTGTTTTTATTGCCTATTTCATTTTATTTTTGTCAATAGTCGGATTTTGCTGCAACACCCTGTAGTGTAAATAAACAATTCTAATAAATAAATACTGATTTTATGTCAATTCTGTTATTTTTGTTGTCAATTCTCGGTGTTTTTTTGGGCTCGAAGGTCTAAGTTTACTAAAAAATCATTCTTCAGTTTTTTATTCAAATATTGGCTAGGAAAATATTCCAGAAAATTTTAACAATTGGAAAATAGACAAAAAAGAGAGGAAAAAAATCAATCTTCACTTTTAACCCAAATTGAATATAACCATGTTACTTCTTTCACTGCGATCTCTACTGCACGGAGCTGGCCCCTAAAGGTTTACATATTCAGAAATCGAAAAATTGATGTTGCATGCTATTCTCAAATCGAGCAAACGTCAAACGTAGCTAACAGAACAGAGAAGTGTTGATCATTCGGCAAACAGAGCGAACAGTGTAGAAGGCAACTTGCTAAATATGTAGATGATCTCCTGCTGCCAATTCTTAGTGTGCTTTTAACTTACTTGAAGAATAACGATTTGAGAAACTACAATTCTTCTTCTCCACAGTTCATCGACATTTACAGTGACTATTAACTGCTACCTTGGATATTTGAACCCTTACATAATGTTGTATTTGTCTTTGATAAAATTAGCATTACAAACTCCTGTATAAGTCTGGTCATGAGTCCCGTTATCAATTAGAACCGCAAGGACGCTACACATCATTTTTACACTAATATTCACGACTTACGGCCATATCACGTTGAAACAGCGATTCTCGTTCGATCACTGAAGTTAAACAACGTGGGGCCTGCTCAGTACCTAGATGGATGACCGTTTTGGAATACCAGGCGCTGAAAGCTTGGATGTGCAGGTGATGTTAATCGGAGAGCCGAGTTCCACTTCCTGTTGGGTTCATGATATTCGCTTACGCGTACATGCCCTCGGAAATGGTATGAATCCACCATTTCTACCCATCAGGTATGGGTTAATTTATCTCTGACTCTTGAAATAATAACGTCTAAATAATAAAAATCTGTCGGATTAATAAATTTTAATCTGTCGGATTAATAAATTAAAAAAGAAATCCATCCCCATTAATCCATCCCCATTTACAAATTACTTTGTTTACGTTAAGATACGGAACTGAATAGATATGTTTTTTTTTAAGAGCCAGAGAAAAATCTATGTTTAAAGACATTAATCAGCACGTCAGATCTGATGACGGTTTTCCCTAGGCGAACGCAGGTACGAATCTTGCCGAAGTGCGCATATTTTTCTCGAAATTCAGGCCGACAAAAATGAATAAATATATACTGTTTAATAAATAAATGGAACGTCTACTCGAACAGGGGTATCCACTAAAACTGTTTTCGCCTCAATTTCATGTTCTTAGTTCTTTCTTTTTTTATTCCTCATTTTTCCTTGGGTATTGGTTTGTTCAACTACAAGCCGAAATACCTAAGGTTTTTCCAAACGAGTACCTATATATATATATATATATATATATATATATGTATATAAATAAAAAGAAAGAACAGTAAGATATAAAATCCGATGTTCTTATAGATATTTTATTTTTACAAAATAGTGCTTAATGTAAATTTACAGAACATTAATATATATATATATATATATATATATATATATATATATATATATATATATATATATATATATATCCTTGTATTTGGTTTTTGCATCATTATCATCATTACTCAATTCTGCTGGACACACCAACCTCTTTTCTATTTCATCTCTACACTACACTGCTATAAAAATTACCATTTCTCAATCCCTCCTACTAAGGATGCAAAACAGCATTTATTAAAGAGAGTACAATAAAATTTGCCTTAATAGCAGACTGAGTTTTCTAGTTTCGACTGGCAACCGGTCTAGGAGAAGGTCAAGTCCGCATTCAAAACTGGCTGGGTATAGGGATAGCAACGCCACCTGGTGAAAAACCTACTTATTAGGAAAACCACCGAAGCAACACGTAGCGTTGTGAGGCTGTGGCACTATACTTTACAGACTTACCATGGACACAACATGGAGATGGATCCGTTAGAAACATTACGCAAGACGTACGTTTGTTTTACGAGGCAATAAAAGTTTTAAGTTGTGAGCAATGAAAAAATATTTAAGAAGGTTTGCTTCTGGCCCAAAGCTACAAGAGATGAGGCACCAAGTGAGAATAAAATTCCTTGCAGGACAAATAGTCTGCGAGAAAAGCTTAAAAGCGAATAGTCGATGCCGAAGTGCCGTTTTGTTTAATTAAGCTTGATTTGGTCACAAGTATGAGGCAGCAACTGATGATCGAAGTCTCTTAATTATGGCCTGCGAGACGAGATTGCTAGACACTTAATTCCTGGTGAGGGATCATTGGAAATTTATTACGTTTAACCGAGCCTGGCAAAGTAACACAATTTGGGGAGATAATCGCTAAGAATGAAACACACAGCGGTAGTAATATTCTGTCAGACTTGCTTATTCAGTGTTAATGTAACCTCCCCCACCCCACAAAAAAAACAAACAAACAAAAAAACAAAAAACAAAACAAAACAAAACAAAAAACAATCAAAGAACAAATTAGGACTGGTTCTCAGCTTGACAAAATTTGATTTTTTTAATTTCTAGTTACAATAAGAAAAAAAAAGGCGTATTGTGGATTGCCTTATGGCTGTGATGGTTGCGTATTTCCAACAAGCGCCAAAGACCGCATTTAAAATACTGATAAAATCTCCGCACTTAAAGGGTAGAGCAAAACAGTATTTCTTCTCACTTTTACATTCTCCGTTTGGTAAGGTTTGGAGTTAAGCATTAGTCATGCTGGTGAAAAGCAATAAAGGTTCTCTAAGAGGATTAAAAGTTTCATTTTGGAAGCATTAAAATTTACAAGACTTTTTTTTTGTCCCAGTTAACAACAGATTGTAGTTCATTTTTGAAACAGCTGTCAATTTGACATTACGAAACCGATCAAACTTAGCATGAGTTGTATCATCAGTATAGATACTGAGTTGAGAACTGATGACACGAGGAAGGTCGTTGATGATGTGCCTTAGGTTTATAGCGTTTATTGATACTTTTTCAAATCAGCGTCGAATTTACCGGATAAATTGGCATGTAGATAATAATAATAATAATAATAATAATAATAATAATATATATATATATATATATATATATATATATATATATATATATATATATATATTTCTATGCCTCCGTTTGTGAGATGCCAGTCTAGTAGCTAGCTTAAATTCATGCGGTCTGGGAACCAGCGAAAGCAACTCGTCGGAACAGTTGCTGTGAAAAGACTTGCAGAAGAGACAGAGGGAAGCCACTGCACGTCTGTGATGAAGTGACTGTAGACTAGATGGCAAATCACATTGCATATTCGTCTCTGGATTTTGTCGAGGAACTCGAGACGTACAGCGGCGGCACCAGTCCATATATGACAGCAACATTCCATGCAAGGATCGATAAATTGGTTGTTTATATTATTTTTTTTCTATAATTTCTTTAAAGTCAAACTTGTTTCTTAATCAAATTGAGAAATTATTGTTGATAAGTGTTTATTTTCTGTTGCTTAATTCTCTATAAAACAATATCTCTAAAGAGGAAATCCTTTTCGCACTGTTAATCATGGTTTTGTGTGTGTGTGTGTTTTTTTTTTGTTATTTTATAACACCTGTTTTATATCTGTGTGGGCATTCGCTTTTATAATTAAGAATAGATGAATGAAATATAGAATATTTTAGTAATACATTTGTCTATTTTTTAAATAAAGGAGAATATAAAAAATCAACTACTGAATGGTGGTGTGACAGAAGACGGGAAGTGGGATACAGAAATATGAAGACGCAAAGAGAAAGCGAAATATGTCTTCTTTAAGAGGTAGTTCAATTTTGATTGATTCATTTGTTGGTTTAAAGGCACATAAATAACTTATGGGTCATTTAATGCCGAAATTAAATTTTGTGGGGAGCCTTTGAAGTAATAAAAATATGATCATAATTCATCGAGTAGAATAATCCTCAATAGAATTTTGTCCTTTTTTGGGACTCATCAGCAGTGCGCACCCACTACCGACAATCGAACACGGAAAGTTACGATACGACGCAAGCGTCATATCAACTGTACCAACGGGCATCGGCGATGGAGAGGTAACAAACCAGACTCGATATAGCGCCAATTCTTCACAATTTCCGTTGTGTGACTCATCCAAGTCTACTTTATAGCAACGGACTATGAGTCACGACTTCTATCCCCAAGTCGCTCTACCCGGAGCATTGGAAGCTGGGTTCTATCTATCTATCTATCTATCTATCTATCTATCGTGATTTTCTAAGCGCTGCTTAGATGTGGCACAAGGCCGGAAGTATGGAGCACCCAGTGAGGATCGAACTCACTACTCAGTCGTAATTGTTCTAGCGAGACAAAGCACTAGCCATTACACCACCTCGAGGTGTCATATATATATATATATATATATATATATATATATATATATATATATATATATATATATATATATATATATATATATATATATATATATATATATATATATATATATATATATATATATATATATATATATAAAAAGAGAGAGAGAGATAAATGAAGGATGATTTTAATTAAATTATGATTACTCAAATACCGCTTAATTTCTATATAAAAATATGATATATGTTATTCTGCCTTCACAATTGAATACATGGTAGATGATACTGCGCTTTTGTGCATACATATGTTTGCATGGATATGATTACTAGAGGCGGTGATATGTGTGCTTTACATTGGAGTTTTGTTGAAGTTATATTTTCGAGCACATTTTTTATTATTGTAGGATATTATATAGATTAATGTCACGAAAGAGTTCTTTTATATTGGTTGGTTGATTTTGTTCAGCGGCATATAACCTCTCTGGTTATTTAATGCCGAAGTCAAAATATTTTGAACACAATTTTATGTCTTCAACTAAATATATTTTGAACGCAAGTGTATACCTTCAACTACAGATAAAATCTATTGTTGGTCATTTTGCTATAAAATCTATTGTTGGTTATTTTGCTATAAAATGTATTGTTGGTCATTTTGCTTTAAAGATGCATTGTTTCTCATTTTACTATGAAATGTAATGTTGGTAATTTTTTTATATAAATATGTATTCTTTATACTTTCATAGTGTTTTTTTTTGGTGGGGGGTCCCTATTTGCTCATAGCTGTAAACCTAAATGCTGCTACCACAACTGACCATGGAGGACCTGGGAGCAACAGCAATTAAGAGGCGATTCCATAATCCTCAAAGACGTCAATCTCCCGATCAGAGACCTTGCTGCTGGCTGTAGTTTATCGTCATACTCGGGATTCCTGGGCAAAGATATGTGGAAAGAATGCCGACATACTCTCATTCAAAGATGCATTACCACGAGTGAGAGGGGAGGGGACTATGTTGAAGGCCTCGATTTTTAATCGTGAGATTTTGTGCACATTATGATGTATTTTTATTATTATATTTGTCTTAAAGAGTAATCATTACTTATCGATTGACATAGCGCTTCTTCGAGTGTAAGTGATTGGCAAGGTAGCCTCAATGATTACCGCTACTGTAGTGAGTTCGATTCTCACTTGGTACCCTATATTTGTGACCTTATGCCAGAAGAGCCTAATACCAAATAACAGAAACGACATCACTTGAGGACATTCAGCAACAGCAACAACTAAAATGGATAGCACATGAAACTCGAAGTAAAAATAATGACATAAGATGCTGACGTTCCACATTACTCAAAACAAAATGTTAGGAAGGAAACTCCCATCAATAATGGAAAGAGCGATAACAGTGTGCTTGAGA